CCCTGCCCTTGGAAAAAGTCCTCTCCCAGCGTTCTTATTTCCTGGCTCTCTGTTTCTCTGATGTTTAAGGAGACAACATAGTAGAGCAGTGTTCAATACTACTTCGTAGCCCACCCTTGCTTGCCTTCCCCAGAGCTGCCCTAACTCTCACTGCAAACGGTTCCCCTAACAGCTCCCTCCTGTTACGTGCCCTAAGGTTTTTGTTGGTTTCTGATCAACTGGAGGAAATGTATCCATCAGCAGTGGTGTGGTTGTGTTCTGTGTTTCACGGTTATTGTGACAATGCGTTGGGTCATAGCTGCACCCTGCTGAGTGCCCAGGATAAAACCATATTTGGGGTGAAAATCTGAGGGTTTAAGACTCTGCTGTATGACATGAGGCCTGCCAGCTGAAATTTCAGGAGCAAGAAATGGATTTATAGATCCAGTATGATTTGGGGTTTGGGAAGGAGAAAGCAGTCAGTGCCTTGCAAGAAGTACGATGGTATTTGATGCCACCAAGTGCTCTAGATTTTGGTTCTAGCTCGGTGCAAAACAGCCTCTTCCAGCATCACAGTCCTCTCCGGAAGGATGGATGAATGCCAGTTCACTCAGTGCTAATTAAGGAACAGTCTTTGGTTTTAGTACCTGTGTCCCTCTAAAAGGCTCATCTTTATAGTCGTATCCAAATCCAACTACGTTTTTATCGTAATCCTGCACGTGGCAAACGAGGAGTGCTCATACCTCATTTCTGGACTGCCAGATTTTCAATCATAAACTCATGTTGCTCTGAAGGTAGTTGTTTTGCAGCAGAGATTTATGACCTTGGATTTCATTTGCAGTACAGGAGAGTCCCTGTTGATGCTGCAGGTTTGTACCTTCCAGCAATCCTCCTCTTCAGGGAGAGCCAGGTGTGGGTTCCCTGGGTGTGATGCAGGAGGTGGCCGTGTCCGTCAGTCCTTTGCGCCGGCAGAGCTTCTGCCAGACAGAGGGAATATTCCAGGACAAATCAGGTGCTTTTGTAAACTCACTTTGTGCTGTAAGCCTGGTGAATTGGGGAATTCAGCCTCCATATCCATAGACACATAAATATGCCCTGTGTGGTCTCCCCAGGGGAAGGCGAAATGTGTTTTTAGTTAAGTTGCATGGGAATTTAATGGAAAGATTTAGGGCAATGCTGTAAAAGAGTAAATCATGGTTACGTGCCACCAAGAAGATTTATAAAGCAAAATAAAAATACTTTAGCACCTTCACTTTTACAGTTTGCTTGATACGAATGAAGCCCTATATTGGTCACTTCGTCTGCTGGTATTTAAAAAGAAGCAAATGCTTTTATATTTTACCGTTTCGCAGTTCTTTGGTGTAAAGTAATGGGAAAGACAGTTGAAAAGGTCGGAGCGTTCTCCGGACACATCACGGCTCAGAACCTGCAAACGTGCTCAGCTTTCCTCCCATGAATATTTGTATGAATTAAGCACATGCTTAACTTAATTCATATAAGTAGTTCATCAGGAGGACTATTAAGTGATTCAGATTAAGCACAAGCTTAGGGTAAGACCAGAGCTGCTGTGGACGGTGGCCCTGAAATTTGGCCAGGCTCCAAGGCAGTGATGCTACTGTGTGTGTGATGGGCCTGCTCTGTGCAAGAAGGTCATTTGTAACACAGAAAAATACTTGGGGATATTCTAGAGAGGAGAGCTAGGGCAGTCGTGTTTGAAATGTGACCTTGAACTCGGGTTTTGTGAGGATTCGCACAAGAAGTTTATTGAAGAGCACTGTGTGTTGTAGTGTTCGATAGGTCTAGATAAGGATACCGTAATAGCAATTGAAATGTGGGGGGTTTTGTGAGATGGTTAAGTTAATGATGTAGCTGTTAATTTGAATTTAGCAGACGTTTTAAATATAGGTTTCTCTTACAGAGACAAAAGTTGCAATTTAAAGCTCTTTGGTGGTCTAAAAACAGCTTAATTCTCTAGTAGCATGGTAATAAGTACTAATCCAGCTTATACAGTGATTGTAGTATGTCATGTTTGTGAAAGATTGCCTAACTCTGCTTTCTCTGGGTTTTATGTTAATTTTTTTAAATTAAACATAAAACCTTATAACATCTTTATGCTGAGATAAACTGTTCAATTTAACTTGTGCTCAAGCAGCAGCTGTCAGGAATTATCACGTTTCGAGCGTTCTTGCCATCACCTTGTGTCTCTACCTCCCGGATACACTCCGTGGGATGACAAAGCTCACCTTGTTAGGATTTATTACTTAAATAATAACCCGAAGTAAAATGAAAGTTGATGTCACACGGAATGACAACTGACATACATTTATGTCGCACGTTACATTATAATAAACTTCCCTTCCTTCCTCTCGTAATAGGTGTTAAGTGGAAATACACTCCAGCATATCCTCCAGTGCCCTGCGCGAGTCCATTAGCCACGTGTGCGGCTGCTCTGTGGGCATGTTCGTGGGGACTCGCGCTGTCAGGTGTTATTTAAGCCTATAATGCTGGAAAAATTGGTTAGTGCTGGTAGGTAGCGGCTTCTGTGCCAAGGAATAAGTATAAAAGCATCTCCTATTTTTGGGGTTAAATTTGGAAAATGCTGTGTGGTGATGCAAGCGAATCAAGAAGGGTGTTTTCTAATAATATTACCATTTAAATGGGTTTGGGTTGATTCTTTTCCTGTAAGAAATGTAAGCAGTGTCATTTCAGGCTCTGACTCTGAATTTGGTAGTAATTGCAACAGTTTTCTGTTGGTTTATTGATGGGCTGGGCAGTGGTAAGTGATCTGATTGTTAAATGAGTCTTATCCCTTCCCATTTACACTGAAGAAAATTTGGGTCTACCTTTTGCTAGCTTTCCAGGATTTTGGCCTTTCTTGTCTTACTCTAATGATGCTGTTGAGTCCTCACGTTTGTCTCAGCCGGTACTACAAACATTGTTTTCCTTTCCTGTGCATATAACCATATTTTTTTCCATATTCTTCTAGTTATTTTGTTGTCCCTCTGGATGACTTCAGATATTGGAACTACACGGTTTTGTCCAGGCTTAAATCTTGGATCTCATTTCTCGTGGTGCTCCCTGTTGCCCTTTTCTCTCCAGTTGTCATGTTAACCTTGGCACCCCCACTGTCTTCTCTTTCCACTCTTGCTTTTGTGCCTTGCTCTGTGGTGCTTCCCGTGTTTTCAATCCCAAAGTGCCATCTTTTTCTTTCCTCTCTCCCTTCAAACGCAGCCAAGTTCATAGATGCTATCCTGTATCAATTCAGTTTTCTTCCGAACTCATTGCAGAAAGAGATTTTCTGAAAAATCAGTAAAGGAGAAACTATAATGCAACCCAGAAATAGCGAATATTTTGCCAAGCAACCATTTCAGCTCATTTTCGTAATGTATGGGGTGTGTTTTCTCCTGTTTGTATTTTTCTTTGTCACTCTGGTGCTAAACTCAGCCCTCTCTGAGCAGGGGGATTGCATCGCCCGTAGGAAACTTCCCTGCCTCTGCGCTGAGTCTGGCACCCAGGTCGTTATGAGCTCCAAAGGTTGTTACTCTTCGTGACAAATAAGTGATGACTTAGCGTAAAACTATTTTTTCCTCTTACTATGGCTTGTAATAAACCAACCCCAGCTCGTATCTTAATTGGCATTCGGCTTGACAGTCCCTTTAGAACGATCAAATATTTGATGAACAAGGCAATAACATTCATCTCTTACTTTGGTAAGCCTTTCAGATTAGCATTGACTCGGGTTGATGAAGATGGATACAGGATCTGTTCTCTAGGAAGTGTTTGTTCTGTAGATACAGATTATCTAGGAACGGTGTGTGTTAGCATAGGTGATAATATGATAGATATGGATGTTTGGGGGAATTAACGAGTTTTAAGGTTGACAGCCAGAATCAGAAGTTTATTAGTGAGGTCAGTTACGTAGTAATCTTGAATGCAAAATCCATTTAAAGTAGGAAGAATGGGAATAAAATAGGATAAAGAACAGGAATAAAAATAGAGAAAATTAGGGAATAGAATTAAAAGAATTAAACATTGCATAGATCATTTTTGAATCTGACCCACTAAAACAGCGGAAAAGATGTCAGAAACCTGCTATGTTGAAAAGTACTTTATTAAAGCTTAATGTTTTACGTGCAGTAAATACCTGATCTCAATTTTTTTTTACCCCTTACAATGGGAAATGTGCAACACAAATGTCTACAGCTGCGCAGTCCTCCGTAGGTTCAGGATTCGGTTCGACTGAAAGCGGCGTTAGCAAGGGACAGGAGGTGCTCGCATGCTTTTGGTGAAATGCGGGGAAATCTGCCGCTGGTTACAGTAGGGTCACAATTTCCTATTACACATTTAAATACATTCATTTTCTGATCGCCTGGTAAGTTATACGAGGCTAAGACAGCAGCTTGTTAGTGCTGTTTGTGCCTGTTTTATGTAATTGAAGGGTGTGTGTCGTGTTGTAGGCTGTGGCATAGCGGGAGTGCTGCGGCAGCGCTGGGGTGTAAGGGTAGAAACAACATTTCATTACAGAGGATACCTAATAACAATGTGAAAATAAAACAGAAAAAGGGCGAAGGAAAAGGAAAAAAAAAAAGAAAAGCAGACCATACTAGATAAGTGCACTGCATAAATCAAAAGGGTTTATGTCATAACATGAAGCATAAAGAAGTAAAGTGTAATGAAACTGGCAAGCAAAGTATTCCCTAGTCAGCCTTATCTTTGTTCCATTTGTCCTTCAGATACAGCTTTTCTTGCCTTTTTCAATAAAATCCATGCAGCTTTTTTTATTTTGCATCTCTCTGTAACTGAGCTGGGAAGACCAATGAGATTCGGTGCTTTTCTAGTTGGGTTCTTAGCAGCTGCTTTTTAAGAGATCAAAACTTTGAATGCTGCTACATGGTATTAAGGCTTAGCTATTGATGTGTCCCTATAGGGGTTATGTTTTTCTTGGGTGGGGGGAGAAGGGGAAGGGGTGACCCCTGCGAGCATGCTCACAGACAGTAAACACTGCTCTCCTTGTTTTCCAGGATCCTCTTTGCAAGCTCGGTGCTTAACCTGGCTGAACTCGCTGCCCTCCGCCCTGACCTTGGCAAATTGAAAAAGGTCCTCTACTTCCATGAGAATCAATTGGCATATCCTGTCCAGAAATGCCAGGAAAGGGATTTTCAGTATGGATATAACCAGATTCTTTCGTGGTAGGTGTTGCTCGCATCGCTCCGCCTTATTTAAGGTGTCCTTCTGTCCGCAGCCTTGCAGCATTGTGAGCCTGAGGAGTCCTCCCTGTAAATGATGACCCTGTAGCAAACCTAGGTATCGGCAGAGTCCCAAAGAGAGGCTGATAAAAGTGCTGTGGCAGAAATAATCTGCTCTACAAACTCATCTCAATTTGCTGCATGAAGTCCACTGATGCTGTTCTGGGCTACCATGGCGTTCCTGTCGGTGCTCGTTTTGACCTGTGTCTTGGCCGTCGGCGAGATGCTTTGTTTCACCGATGCTTCGCAAAGCTGCAGCTAATCAGCTCTTCCTCGGCCGTAGCTTTTACTGCATCCAACTGAAATTATAGAGAGGGTTTTAGGGAAATAAACAGAAATTAAAATGTACTGCAGCACTTTTCTTGTGAAGAGAGGGCAGTAAACATACCAGATAAATCCTTATATTTCTTTCATCTAGTATTCAGAAATTGTGCAGTGCTAAAATACCCAGACGTTTTAAAGGCTGTGGTCCTTTATTGTTGCTAAAAACAAATGTATTTCTCGAATCTGAGTTAATGAAAGAAGTTAATAACAGCAACACTGAAAAGCTTTGTGGTTAGGCGCTGAACAGCCCTATGTGAAACAGCACAACTCAGTTGTTTTGAACTGAAAAAAATTAATTTCCATGCTCTTTCTCACCTATCTGTTAGTAGGAGAATTATTAAGAGTAGGGGTTGAGCATTTTAAGATACAAGTTAAGCTTTTGCATCTTTATTTCAATATCAGCTGGCTTATACTATAAAGATCTATGTATAACCTGACCATTCTGTAGCTGCTTCTGGCGCTGCATTTGCAACGTGTTTCCGTTACTGGGCAGTAAAGATGGCGAGGTAGAGTGAAAGGTCTTTTGAAAACAGAAGCAGCCATTTGCAGATTTTATAATGAAAAGATGTGGGTTTTGGCACTGGAGCAAGGATTTTTTTTTTATCTATATGTTTTGCTTTATTCATGGCAGTTATTTTTCACACATCTATTGTAAGCTGACATACATTTATCCTCAAAATAGGCATTTTTAAGATAATAGAAGTATCTTCTTATATTAGGGAAAAAAAGAGAAAACTTCTGTAGGTGCTTTACTCTGTCTTCCTAGCCTCTCCATGTAATTATATAATATTCATCTTCCCTTTTCGTTGCTGTAGAAACACCAGCAGATAGACGCCATCTCCTCTGTACTGTTTGTATCTACCTGGTGGTCATCTGCACAGAAATGCCATCTTCCCATCTTCCAAATCTGTTAGAAATGCTAAAAATGTTTTGTATAGAAGTTCTGGAGGCAATTGAAATTGGAGCACTTTGGATCTTCAGGTTGGTGCTCCGACTCATTAAGAAA